TAATCCCCCCTAATCCCCCCTATACCTATGGTGATCCCTCAATATGCCCTCTCCTCCTCTCTTCTCTCTCCTCCCATCTTTTCCCCTTTGTCCTCCCAGTCTTCTCTCCTTTCCTCCCCCACCTCCTCTCCCTCTCTCTGATACCCACTAAGTCCACTGCGGCCTGCCTGCTCACATTCTGACTGCTTTGTTGGCTTGACCTTGAGCAGATCTTGTACAGCCAGTCATAATTGCCATACAGGGGTACAACAGCCAAGACAGCATCCCATCACACTCCTCCCCACCATCCCACTGCACCTTTTCCCACCCTCCCACCCCACTCCTTCTCCCTACCATACCTCTCCACACCTCCCACCGCACCCCTCCCCACCCACCCACTGCACTTCTCCTCACTTCTCCTCTGGCACTCTTGCAGTCCCTCTTCCCAGGCCCTGCATTTTAGGAAGCCTCTCTCAACACTTCGCAAACATTATTTACAGTGGTATTTCAATTGTATTTTAATAAATAAAGACTGCATGAAGATCTGCAAATAGAACAGTCCCACTGGTCAGCCTTACAGACCAGATTATGGTAACACACACCTTTAAGCCAAGTCGATACACTAGTTGTCATAGAAATCGTGAGGACTATGCCTTTAATCCCAGTGGTGTGTGCCTTTATTCCCAGCCCTAGAGAGGAATATAAAAAATATAAAATGGGGAAGTTGGGAGATAGCTCTAGTCTCAGTCTCATTCTGAGATTCCTGGAGGCAGGATCACCATTTCAGACTGAGGGCAAGGTAAGAGCTAGTGTCTGGCTGTGTTGCTTTCTAGATCTTCAGGATGAACCACAATTTCTGACCCTGAGTGTTTATTAATTGTGCTTCATCCATTTAAAATAGGAAACGCCAACACTGAAAAAGCTCCTGATATGTAGTAGGTGCTGAGTCCTCCAACACTGAAAAAGCCCATAACACATAGTAGGTGTTCAGTCCTCCAACACTAACACAGCACCTGTCACATAGTAGGTGCTCAGTTCTACAACACTGACACAGCCCCTGACACATAGTAGGTGCTCAGTAAAGCTTGACCAGACTGTTGTTTGTCTCAGGAGAATAGGAAGAGGGCAGAAACACATGTACAAGCATCAAAGGCAGTGGCTTCCTAAGAAAGGCTGAGAGTTTCCAGAGTCCACCCAAACTAGAGAGACTGGCAGCTTCTCTCAGGAACTGTACACCCTACAAATCATTGCCCTCTGCTCTAGACAGCCGAGAAGGCTGTGGCTGGGGACTAAGGCCTGGAGGCCAGAGTCTGGCAGTAGCTGATGGGCTACTACAGCTGGTCCGTCGGCTACAGATGCCGCTCTGAACCTGCACTCTACGTAACGATCTATGTTCCCCTCCACCCACAATTCAATGTCTGCTACCATTTCCCCAAGTGACTTAGATACCACACTGGCAATATCAATTCTTGGTTTACAATCTTTGCAAAATGACTCTGTGCCGTAGCTCACCGTGCTCTCCCCTCTCAGCATTTGCCCTCTAGGATTACCCTAGATCCAAGCATGCTCCCACTTTTGGCCACCAATGCTTAATGGTCTCCCTAATAGTCCTAACCATCACACTGTTAGGAGGAGAAGCCAAGCTATCCACACGAACATATCCCATTTCCTCCATGGACCTTGGATCTCTCCCAAGAGCCTACTGACCTAAGGTACCCTGCAGATAGTCATAATACCCAAATACCCACTTTCTGAGAGTTAGCAACCACTGGAAGAAAGGAACAGCATGGAGTCAGACTATGGATGGCCTCTGACTCACACCACTGGTTTAAGGGTGTCGTCCCATGCCTGGGTTTTTCTGTAATATGAAGGCAATGTGATACAGTCTGAGACACACTCAATTCTAACCTTCTGGAATAGTCTTTGCCTTCTCTGAGGATGCCCTGCTTACAATGGGATCCATGGACCAATCACCCATTCATATCTGCTATCCTCCTGTGCCCAAGATCAGATGGCTCGGCAGCCCCTCAGTGAATGGAGATGAACACGCTGCCTGATGTAGGTAGAGGCTCCTCTTAGCCCGACCAGTTTCAGCCTTCTTCAGCACTCTATCTTCACATGAGTGGTAGCCTTCATCCTCAGACTCCCTGATGCTCTGTTACCACCTCTCATGTCCACCTTATTTTCCACCTCAGGGACAGTCGTTTCTGTCACTGTCCGGGCATCAACAGGCTAAGTCTTCTTGAGGAAACAATGAGACTGTATTCCAGGGTCTCTGTCCTGACAAACAGCAGACAAGGAGGATGTTGCCTGAATTGAAATGCCATGGAAAATGAAGTCCATGCAGACCAAGAGGCCAAGACCCAAACCCTTGATGTGTGACCACGAGGCTGTATCAACCCTGAATGGTCCTGAGAAAGACCAGCTTCTAAGCTGTCGGTGAACACAGAACACGCGACCAGGGAGTTAGGTGACAAGGCTGAGGACAGAAAGAACAGCAGAGACAGGTAAGAAGAGGAACAGTGAGGTAGGAGAAGCTTGTACTTTGTGAAATGACCAAAAAGGACCCCAGGATTCTGCTCTGCCCCTTCCAACTTTTAACCTGGAAACACCGAGGAGGTTGGCTCCTTATCTGATTATGTTTTGTCTCTGAGAGGAGCCTGTTGCACTGTGAGGACTGGGGCAAGCAGGTGAGTCCGGGTAATGGAGCCAAAGGTGAACAAGACTGGATCCATCGTCCAGTTTTCCTCATTTTCTCTACTTTGATTCTGACTTTACCCCCAGCCTTGGTAGGCTGGATCTTTTACACAGGTCCCTACAGGATAGGAACATGAGACATTTCCTAGGGACTGGCTAAAAAATGGCTGTATGCTTAGGTGGGCTACACACTCTGTCGGTAGGATATACACATCACTAGGTATCAATCCTTATTTGTGTACTAGAACATTCTTTATCTGGGTTTCCCAAACTTGGTTTTTTTTTTTTTTTTTTTCTGCCTCGCTAGCAAGTGTGAACACTGCATCCTTCCTCTGGGTTCTCTCTCTCACACACACCCATCTCAGTCACTCAGTCACCCTCTTTGGTGTACCACTTCCCCTTCCAGCATGCACCCCACTTCTCTGCTCCAGCTCCCTCCTTTCTCTTCCGTGATGTCACTGCTGGGAGAAGACAAACAGGGAGTAACTCTTCACTTTTGGCCAACTTCAGTTTCCTTATTGATGCCATGACAGCATCTTTATTTAGGAAATTCCATTTTCCTCCCTACACCCCCAACCTCTGTCCCAAGCCCCAGAGTCCCTATAAAGAGGGGTTCCCAACTCAGACCAGCACAACACTCAGCCAGCTTCTGAAGCTTCTGGGCTCTGCAGTCTCAGCTCTGTCCAGACCCCTCCTGCAGCAACACCATGAAGCTCTGCGCATATACCCTCTCTCTCCTCCTGTTTGCAGCTGCCTTCTGCACTCCAGCGCTCTCAGCACCAAGTAAGTTGATTTTCCCATTGCTGTTTTGAGAACCAGCAGGTTCAGTTTTCCAGCTGGGGCCAGCCCAACAGCGGGGTTTGGGCAGGGGGCAAAAGTGAGCTGAGAGGATTCCAGAGTCAGCCATTAAACGTAGAGACTAGCAAACATTACTACTTAAGCTTCTGTTTCCTTAAGATTTAACAGTTGAGCCAGGTGGTGGTTATAGATGTCTTTAATCCCAGCACTGGGGGGAGGGGGCAGAGGCGGGTGAATCTCTGTGAGTTCGAGGTCAGCTGGGTCTACTAGAGCTAGTTCAAGGACAGGCTCCAAAGCTACAGAGAAACCCTGTCTGGGAAAAAAAAATTAAAAAAAAGAAAGAAAGAACGAAAGGAAGGAAGGAAGGAAGGAAGGAAGGAAGGAAGAAAGAAAGAAAGAAAGAAAGAAAGAAAGAAAGAAAGAAAGAAAGAAAAAGAATTAACAGCCAATGAGGGAAAATGGTGGGCTGGAAGCCGGGTTTTGAATTGACTTTCTCTCTCATTTAAGCTTGTCTGTCTCTTTGCCTTGATTTCCTCACCTGTAACATGAAGGAAAGGGGAGATGTTCTGATTCTCACTCCAGTTTCAATCTTCTAGATTTTTTTTCTCTCCTTCCAGGAAGGTCTTTTAAGAGTAAAAGTCCCACTCTGGGTGGATGGCCATGCATTCAGGGCACCATGTTTCCAGCACTAGTGATAGGGATGCTCAGTGAAGATTAGAATGGACAGCACCAGGCACAAGTTTGACCTTACCCTTGCTTTTTCTTCCAGTGGGCTCTGACCCTCCCACTTCCTGCTGCTTTTCTTACACCTCTTCGAAGCTCCCTCGCAAATTTGTGATAGACTACTATGAGACCAGCAGCCTCTGCTCCAAACCAGCTGTGGTGTAAGTATACACTGGGGTGAAGGCAAGACTCAAAAAGGGTCAGATGCAGGTAAAAGGACTATCGACCAGAAGGGATTCAGTTCTAAGGGTTGAAGCTGTGCCAGAGGACAGCGAGGTCGTGAGGTCACTTTTTGAGTTCTGAAAATTGCTGGACGGTCATTAAAATGGGGAAGGGGACACTTTTGAGGAGGATGATAATATGCAGAGGCTATGAAACCAGAAGCAAATAAAAAATGATGCATACTATATGTAGAAAGGTAATTTCAAGGAGCAATGAAAAATTGGACGACCTAGTCATATTGATCCTAAAACTCATCGTTTCCTGATATAGGGAACCCCTGGGATCACAGCTGCACACCCAGGGCTCAGAGTTACAGGAAGTCTAGACGGGTCATGGTTATTCAGGAGGGATCCCATCTANGACCTACTCATATTGATCATAAAACCCATCATTTCCTAATAAAGAGAACCCATGGAATCACAGCTGCACACCCAGGGCTCAGAGTTACAGGAAGTCTAGACGGGTCAAGGGTATCCAGAAGGGATCCCATCTACTGTGGTTGCCCGTAGAAGCAATGCTCAAACAGAATGAGTTTCCTATCACAGGCAAAGAACAGTGGTAGATGTCCTCTAAGGTCCCATGGGATTCTCATCAGTCCTCTTCTTCTTCTCCAGATTCCTGACCAGAAAAGGCAAACAAGTCTGTGCTGACCCCAGCCTGCCCTGGGTCAATGAGTACGTGAATGACTTGGAGATGAACTGAGCTGCAGGAGGAGCCTCGTCAGGGAGGGTCTCCTGAGCCCCGACACTCTCCGTGGAGAAGTCCCTTGCTCCTTCCATTAAGAATTCCTGTCCCAATTCTTAATTTAAATCTTCACAGAGACTGTTATTTTAGTTGATGTTATTTCTTCTATTTATATTTAGTTGAAGCACATGCGTCTCCCATGGAGATGGTCCACCTATTCTGTTTCTCTGCTATTGTGGATATGATCGTGTGATTGATTTCATACATTTTCATAATAAATCTTTTTTTAAAATATCGATTGTAATTTTGCATTGATTTTCATTTGGATTGAAACTGCCTGGTGCTATTAGGGATAAAGTCCAGTTTGCAAAAGCAGTGAGAATGAGTAAATACTGAGACCTTAACGTGTCCCCTTGGCTGCATGGACTCAATGCACTCTCTCAATGCTTCTATGAGCGTGTTAACACCTGTATGAGGGTGGAGATTGGTGCCTACAGTTTTACAAATTAAGAAACAGAAGCACAGAGACAAGATTTTTTTTGTAGATTTGCTTGGGAAGCATTGTGAAAGAATGATCCAGAAGGACAATTTTGGTCCTAAGGGTTATTTGATGGCGTTCCCTGGCCGGGGTGGGGGGGGGAGGCTGTGAATGAGACAACACAATACAGAGCAAGGGGATGAGGTTTAGTCAGAAAGGGGACTTCATTGCTTTGTTATCTCTGTGACATTAGAAAAGTGACTTTACTAGAGCTCAAATTTTCTGACTTGAAAAATTGGGTAATAATGCTTACTGTATTGAAATGTATAAAAGCACCAGAAGTTTTATCTTCCTTTCTGAACCCCACTATGTGCACTTGTGGAAAACAAGGATTTCTGATGATCATATTAGCCCATGGGTCAGTAATCTACACCACAAACCCAAGTGTCTGGTTTGGCTGAAAAATGCCATGAACCTAAACCATGACTACTTAATAGTTCTCAGTCATGACTCACTTTACAGAGGACAGATAGAAAAGTAGAATTAAACAAACAGCAGGTCTGATCAATAGTTCATAGACTCTCAGGGTATTGAAGCAAGGAAGGGAACCCTTAGGTCATCCAGTCTAACTCTCATTTTGTGGAAAGTGGACTAAAGACAAAGCAATAACTTGCCAAAGGCCATTACTCAGTGTGTGGCAGAGCAGCACGGCAGCTGATGTCAACCCCCAGGTCAGTACCTGTATTGGGTATCTTACCTAGGGACGTACTTCTGTGATTCCCAAAGGGATGACCCTCTGGGTAACATAGACAAGGAGAAATGGCCTTGAAAACCATTTCAGCATTGCCTTCCAGATGCAAGTATAATCGGACCCTATTCTCTGAGCCAACAAACACAATTCCCTTCCTTGTCTCACCCTCAGCTGCTTCTAGCATCCTGACTCCATAGAAACAGACCCAGAGCAGGTGTGAGAGGCTGGTGGCTAAGAACTGTTGACTTCTCGTTTCCTTTGTCTAGATTTGTGTTGTCCAATATGCTAGCCACTAGCCAGCGCACCTACTTAACTTCCAATAAAACACAACTAAAATACAATTGAATTCAGCCTCTCAGTCACACCATTCACCAGTATTGATGGTGACCCTGTTAGAAGGTGCTGGTGTAGGACCCACCCCAAAGTTTAAGGAATTAAAATGGGCTTTGTTTTAAAACACCATGATTACCATAATTTGTTATAGCAATAATAGGGAACTGGTACAACACACTGGCAGGGGTGACCCCTACAGGTGCAGAAGAGAATGGAACATTCTAGGAAGTAAGCCAAACACCCCTAAAAGGTAAGATGAGGCGGGCATACTCCAAAGAGGTAGGCTACAGCGAGATAAGGCTCTGTTTCAACAGTTGAAGATGAGAACTGAGCCTTTTTGAAGGTATCTGGCCCTCAGAGAGAACATCTAAGCGTCGTGTGGCATGCTGGGAAAATTCTTAGCTGGAGATGAATCCATCCATCCTCTCATTTGTCAGACGAGGCCTAGAATAGGGTCAGGGCCTATTCATGTTTGCATTATTGCTGAGAGAGGAGGGCAGGGACCAGAGTCAGGAGCTCCTCCTTTATAATTAGTTCTTGTCACCATATGGCCCGACTCTGGGAAAACTGGGAGGGAGGACATCAGCTCAGCAGAGGCGGGATTGCAAAAATTCTGGAACAGTTCTGTGAAGAACAGCTTCACCCAGGAGCAATAAAGGATGGCATGGAACCTTCCCTGTGTGGCAATGTGGGGACTCCATCTGTTGCATCATGTAAAACTCAGGCCTCTCCCTCCTCTTGGCATGTGACCTCCTTTTTTAGTCTACTGTGAGGTATCTTATCTGCTTGCTTGTCTTTCCATATGGACTTTCTCCAGGTTTCTGGGTGTGCAAGAACCCTGAGAGAGGAGGCAGAGCAAAGGGAAGGGACCTGTGGCCTCTAGAGCAACATCTACGAGCCAGCCTGTACGGCTCTCCTCCCATGCCCTCTTTCCAATAGGTACGGGGGTGCAGGTATCCTTATGATATGGTATGGAATTGTCTAAGTATACACCAAGAGGCAAAATAGCTTGGTTACATAGTAACTATTTTTTTTATTTTTGAAAAATCTCTAATTGGTTTCTACAATATCTGTATTAATTTATAACACCACCAACAGTGAATAAGGGTTCGTTTCTCTCCACATCCTCTCTTGTGTGTGTATAGGGAGGGTGTATACACACACATGCGCCACACACATATCCTATAAGTTCATTGTGTTCTTTAGATCCATGAGTTTTCTAGACTTGGTACATCCGCAAATAGGGACCGTTGATGTCTTCCCTTCTTATTGTTGTCTCTTTTAAGTGTTTTTCCAATAGCTAAGATTTAAGAGATGTATTGAATGACAGAGAGGAGAGTTGACATCCTTATCTTGTTCTTGGTTTTAGAGGAAATGCTCTCAGTTGGCCTCCCCTTAATATAATGTCGGCTATAGGCTTGTTGTGGATAGCCTTATTCTTCTGAGGTATATTCAAAATATTCCTAAAGTTTCTGGAGCTTTTATCTTGAAGGTATGTTGAACTTTGCTAAATGACTTTCAGATCAATTGAACTAATTGTGTCCCTGATGTTACTTATATATTTATGGAGGAAATTGCTTTGTACCTTTTTTTTGGTAGTATCTTTAACTGATTTGGGTATCAGGCTAATATTGACTTTGTAGAATGAATTTGGTAGTGTTCCTTCAAGCAAACACTATCTAGTGCAAAAATAAAGAAGAGTTTGTATGAGAACTTCTGTGAAAGTTGGCTGGCAATCAGCAGTGAATGATGCTACAGCCTTTCTTTGCATGGAGACTTTAATAACGGCTTCAATCTCATTTCTTATAATTGGGTTAAGTTACTTACATCTTCAGGATTTAGTTTTGGTACACGATAAGTATTTAGAAATTCTTCTACTTCAGCCATCAGGGTAGAACAGGAAAAAGAGACCCACATGCCTGCCTAGGGCAGCCTCCCCTGGGCAGGTGCTAGAAATCACACCCGTGCCCAGCACCTTGTGGCACCAGGCTGTTGGGCACCAGTATGTGATGATGCTTTATGGCTTGGACACTGTGATGTGAAAACACATGATAATAGGTATGGAGTGATTCCATTTATGAAGAGGTGTGCATCTCTTGAAGAGCCCTCCTAGGATTTTGTGTAAGGAGCGTTTGTCAGGATCCCCTCCACTTAGGGCTATAATCTTCATTAAATCGATGTGTATGTATGAAAATAAGCTAGTTCCATTTGTGATATAAAAAAGAAATAAATTCTTCTTGTTCCTCTGGGACATCCAGCTTTTCAGAATATGTTTCATAGTACTTTCTTATGGTATTCTGAATTCATTGGAATCAGTTTCAATGATCTTTGATCTCCACTTTTATACATTTTTAACTTCTCCCTCTTTCTTTTGGCCAGATTAGCTAAGGACTTGTCAATCTTACCAGCCTTTTCAAAGAACCAACTCTGATTTAATTGGTGCTGTATATTGTTCTTTTAGTGTCTGTCTGCTTCATTCATTTCTCCATTAATCTTTATTGTTTCTTGTTGTCTACTGTGGTTTGGCTTGACTGTATTGTTTTCAGGAGCCTTGGGATGTATTGTTGGGTTATTGATATGTTATCTCTCAGATTTTAAAACACAGACCCTTCCTTCTCTAACCTTTCCTCATAGGACTACCTTGGCTGCATGCCGGAGATTCTAAGAGAACATGTTTTCATCTCCATCTTCCCCTAAGAGACTTTTAGGTCTTCTCTGATGTCTTAGATAACCCACCGTTCATTCAAAAATGTATTGTTCAGTCTCCAAGTCTTTTTCTGGTTTGTCTTATTGTTGATTTCTGGTTTTCTTGCATTATGGTCTGACTAGAGACAAAGATTTATCTCAACTTTTTGTATGTGTTGAGACTTAATTTCTGTCTTGTGATGTAGTCGATGTTAGAGAAGGTTGCATGTGCTGCTATGAAAAGTTCTATTTCCTCTCTGCTGGGTACAAACATATATCAAATCAATATTAGTCCAGTTCACACGTGGTCTATGTTAGCTCTGAAGTTTCTTTGTTTTTAGTTTAGAAGACCTAACTAAATCTAAGACTGGAATACTGAAGCCCCCACTAGTATTCCATCAGGACTTAGGTGTGTAAAAGGCCCCAATATTTGGTGCATGGAAGTTACAAATGTTATATCTTCTTGAGGAATTGTCCCTGTGATTAACGTGTGCTGTCCCTTTTTGTCTATTTCTAATTAGTTTAGGTTTGAAGTTTACTTTGATACAAGGACAGCTATGCCTGCTTTTTTTTTTAAAGAAAGAAATGTTTAATTTTAAACTCTGATTTATGCATAAAACTCATTTTTGTATCACAGTTAATTTTAGTACAAACTATGAAAATGTTAACACTGAGGTTTCCACAGAAATCTATTAAGATCCCTTAGAAAATTATTTAAAGAAACAACAGCTAGTCACTTACTGTTCTGAGATTAATACATAAAGGAAAAAATTTCACACATTTTACTGAAATTTTCAGTAAATAATTTTAGCCATAATACTTGTAAAATTAAAAATTCAAATGCTGTGTGTTCCTCTAAAGCAATTACAATCTGCAATGAAAATACTAAGCCGAAATCTTTTTGATCTATCAGAACAATTCTAGTTTTAAAAGCTGATTGAATTTGAGAACTTGAACAGAACAGTGGCGTCGAAACTGAGCTTAAATAAAGGTGGAGACGGTGAGGACAAACACTCTCAAGGCTGCGATGCAGAGAGAAAATGTGGAGGTAAAACATTCAGGGCCAGAACTATCACCTTAAAAAAAAATCGGATCACTCTTATATTAAAACATGAAAGGAATCAAAGACAGACAGTACTGAAGTTTTACACAAGCCTCTTGGTATTTCAATGCTGTTTATTGAGGAGTGAACGAGACCACTGCAGACATGCCAACGGTACTTCACATTCAAGGGCCGGACGTGGGGCAGGCTCCACACCGGGTCACTGCATGAGCCTTTGGGGAGGAACCAGCAGTGACATCAAGTGACAGCCTCATGCTGGTCAACAGTTGTTCTCAGCCGGTTGGCAGGCAAAGGCTTCTTACTGTCCCCCACACTCTCACTCCAATATACAATGAACACTAGGTTGTCTCCCAGTCTCTTTAGCACACATCTATGTGGATTAACTGATCTGAAAGTCGATCTCCTTACATTTCTGTAGGTGTAGGTCTACCGAGAAAAAGTAATCTTCTCCTCTGTCCCTTCACACGGTGGGCACAGCAATAGAAAAATACCCTGCAGTGCTACTGAGGGGCTTATGGGGACCTCTTCTGTGGGTCAGATTAAGATCCACGGCAGTTTACTCTGCACACAGGGCTGCTTTTCCTGTGGCTCCAGAAGAATGGCCTACACACAACACTACTTCTCTCTTGCTCAAAAACAAAACAAAGAAACCTAAACAAAAGGGTAAACGTTTATTTGGAGTTAGTTTTCTGGCAGGTGGTATTAAGGCCGGTCAGGCAGAGTTCAGGAGCTCCTGTATGGCGGCCTGCTGCTCTGGACTGAGCTGTGCTATGCATTCAGTCCACAATCCTCCAGAAGTCTGNTCCCCTCTTCCTGCTTCCCCCATCTTCCCCCACCTCACTTCCCAGCCATTCTTCCCATGGGGAGTCCACAAAGTCTGTCACATCACTTGAAGCAGGACCTAGACCCTTCTTCCTGTATCTAGACAGAGCAAGGTATCCCTCTATAGGGAATGGGTTCCAAAAAGCCAGTTCATGCACTAGGGATAAACACCAGTTCCATGGCCAGTCCCACAAACTGTCAAACACACAAAACTGTCACCCACATTCAGAGGGCCTAGTTGGGTCCTCTGCAGGTTCCCCAGCTGTCAGTCCAGAGTCAGTGAGCTCTCACTAGCTTGGATCACCTGTTTCTGTGGGTTTACCCATCATGGTCTTAACCCCTTTGCTCATAATATTGTTCCTCCCTCTCTACAACTGGACTCCAGGAGCTTGGCCCAGTGCTTAGCTGTGCATCTATATCTGCTTCCATCAGTTACAGGATGAAGGTTCTATGATGACAATTAAGGTAGTCATCAATCTGACTACAGGGGAAGGGCAGTTAAGGCATCCTCTCCACTATTGTTTAGATTCTTAGTTGGGGTCATCCTTGTGGATTCCCGGGAATTTCTCTTGTGCCAGGTTTCTCACTAGCTCCATAATGGCTCTCTCTATCAAGATATCACTTCCCTTGCTCTCCCTCTCTGTCCTTCCCACAACTCGACCTTCCCAATCACTCACTCATGTTCTCTGCCTTCCTCCCTTTTACTTCCTCCCCTCCCCCTCCCCCCACTCTACTTAAGAGATGTTTATTTCCCCTTCCCAGGGGGATCCATGTATGTCTCTTTTAGGGTCCTCCTTGCTTCTTGGCTTCTCTAGGACTGTAGGTTGCTTATTCTTTATGTCCGGTATCCACTTTAAAGTGAGTAGAGTTCCATGTCTCACTTTCCTATTGTTGTGACACCATGACCAAGGCAACTTATAGAAGAAAGAGTTTATTGGGGACGACAATTTCAGACAAGGAGTCAATGACATCATGGTGGACAACATGGCAGCAGGCAGACAGGCATGGCGCTGAAGCAGTAGCTGAAGGTTTACATCCTGACACACAATCATGGAGCAGAGAGCAAACTCAGTGGGAATAGTGTGGGCCTTTGACACCTCCAAGCCTGTCCCCAGTGATCCATCTCCTCCAACAAGGCCACAGCTCCTAATCTGTCCACAAATGTGCCAACAACTATGAACCAAGTATTCAAATGTATAAACCCATGGGGGCCATTACCATTCAAACCACACCATCTGGTCAAATTATGTCCAAGACATGGAATGTCCAAGGTATGTCCGTGGTACTTTGGTGGGACAGTCTCATGTTGCTTTGTCCCCTCACTGAACACACAAGGGTCTAGATGTGACCAAGAGAAAGAAACTGGATGTAAACGGCAGCAGGACACTGGGGTACAGGCTCTGTGGCCCTCTCCTCTGCAAAGATCCCCACAGCGACTACAGTGACACAAGTCACCGTGACAAGGATCACATGGCCATAAACGGGGATAGCTCACTCCTCCCCTCCCCAGACTAAGAGGGCTGACTCTCCCAGAGAGCAGACTTTCCTGGGAGGGACAGAGATAATGAAGTAAATGGAAATATTCGTCCATTTGAATGCCTTATGCAATAGGTAGGCCTGTGTGGGATGAGAGTGAGATGTAAATATAACTAGAGCCACAGACCTGGGTGTCAGCATGAGCGCTGCACCAGACTCCACTAAGTTCTGATCATGGTGACCAGTTTTTTCTCGGGAGAGGTGGGGAAACGTAAGAAGGGGAATCAACTAGGAGAGAGCTTAAGTTAGGGTACACGGAGCCCACCAGACAAATAGGCAGGTTCTGGTGGGAGATTGAGGGTGTTCCTTGGCAGATGCGGGAATGATTGGCCTGGATAGCTGTGGTGTCTGGGGGCGAGGACAGGACAACAAGGCCACATCCAAACAGTAACGAGCTGCTTAGCATAGCGCAAGGGCTGAGCAACTGGATCTTTCTCAGCAGATGAAAATCATGCTCAGATTTCTCTTCCAGATGGACGCCAGCCCTGTGAAAGATGGACTCGATTATTAACAGGATGACTGCTGACCAGCCCCAGAAGAGTTCTTCTGAGTCCGTGGACACCATGCCTGCTACTCGCTAGCCGTACAATTGAATCCCCAGCAACTGAAGTCCTATTATAATGTTGTGACTGCTTCCTAGTTTGTGTCTAAAATAAATGATCCTTGGCATTGTCTTGCTGCAGGGTTCTTCACATTTGAGCACCCTGTTGTCTATTCTGATTAGTGGAGCTATCCCTGTAGCCTCCAGAGAGCCCCAAGAACACTGGGCCCACAGGATCCCCGCAGATAGAGGACAAGTTGTTCCTAAATAACCCCTCTTCCCATGCTGTGTCTGTGCCTGCAAACATGGCAGAGGACAGAAGAGTATTTTCTGGGTGCATTTTGTAACCTTAAGTCTGGTCAACAAACACAATGAAGTGCGCATGTCCCAACAAGCAGGCCTGCTGGAGCTGCATTTACTGGGTCATGATTCAGGAGGAGGAGGAGGAGGAAGGGCTCAGGGAATTCCCCATTCAAAGGCAATACAACCACCTGCTGGACCGGATCTCTAATTTAAGTGAATACCTCCAGGAGTCTGGGGCCCTTCCCTATCCTTTGAGCCCAGCACTGGTACAGGGAAGGCCTTCTGCCCCTCCCCTGGCCTTAGAGCTGAATACCTGCAAGCCATGTCCGGGTTTAATTGCCAGGTTCCCACAGCACTGTTGGGGTTCGTGGAGGATCTCTATAAGGTTCACTGATGGAAAGGTAAACTCTTCCTTTAAGATCAGAATCTAATCAGGAAACATTCTGCCTCTGTCATCTCTCCTAGATCCCCGACTTCGTTTGCCGGAGTTTGTTGTCTCGGTCACAGCACTGCTCCTGCTCTCACACGGCTTCCTGTATGACACGAGGGCCTGTGCCTCCTTCTGTGGGTTCCTTTTTCTGTCTCTCTTCTTGTTCACCCACATGGACCCGCCAGTCATCAGCCCTCCAGCTCCTTCCTCCAGACCTGGTGCTGCTCTCTGCTTCTGCAGCTAAACTCAACTTCACGGCTTTGCTTTCAAGCAGGTGACCTGAAGTGGCCTGATTAAAAATCACCTCAGTTTCTCCAGCTGCTCCCCTGCACTTTGGATCATTATCTTATCACTAGAGATTCTACTTTCATCCCTCAGTTCCTCTGCTCCTCGGGACTTCTGAAACCTTTGAATTCTGCGGTGACCTATTATCCCTTTATAGCCATTTCTGCAACACATGTATAAGAATGTATGTGTATTTAGACAGAGAGATGTATTTCCTGTGTGTTGTATAATATGTGATTTAACAGTTAGTATGAGTAATTAAGGTTGAAATAAAGAAGGCTGTGTTTGTCTTGGCCAGGCTTACCAATGAAAGCAAAACAGCCTTGTCAGTTGCCTCATTAAAACTGGTGTGTCTTAAGGCAAGCGATGGTGGCCTATTCTTTCAATCCCAGAACTGAGGATTCAGCGCATAAAGGATCTCTGAGTTAGAGGCCAGCCTGGTCTACAGAACAAGTTATGGGATAGCCAGGGCTACAAAAATGAATCGTGTCAGGAAAAAAAAAATCCTAAAATAATACTGTATCTTGGGAATTAAGGTCATTCCATAAATTATGACATTATAAACAAACACAAATGAATTTGCCTATATTTCTGACCTAGCATGGACAGAGAGATAAGGACAAGTCACAGGCCCCCAAGCATGTCTGCTCAATCTGAAGGAAGGACTGGAAACACATGGAGTAGAGCATGTGACCCAACAAACCCCCTTAGTCCCTGAGAAGTAACTCTACAAAGACATCTCCAAATCCAACCCCCAGTGACTGGGGCATCCCACAGCTGTTGGCATTTTACCTCTACAGATTGTTTTCTCAGAGTCTGTAACTCTGACAGCAAAAGAGGCAGGGTCTCTCATCGGGGACCAGGAACACTGCATGTCTCCTGTGGCTCCCATCCCTCCTCTGCTCACCAGTGCAGCCTTCTTTCTAGAGACCTGTCTTACAGAAAAGCACTGGTCTAAGACGACCGACCATCACAGCGGAGCCTGTCTCTTTATTTTCAACTGGCTCTAGCCACACTGAAATCTTTGCGCATCCATCTCTTCCAGGAGGGACAGCAAACGCCTCCTTCTGTGGGTTAGAAAAGCACAAACTCCACAGTTGTTAGTATCTCATCTGTAGAGCTCCAAAGGACACAAACACCATCTCTCCCAGATGCAGGCTACAGCCTTACACAGCTGGATGTCTAGGAAGCCCAAGAGAATCCAGACGCTCCATAGTGGCTGTCTTGGCTTCAGCTCTCACTCTGAGCTGTTGAGCTACACTGAAACAATTATTTCCTTCCCTCCCCGTTCATAAGTGCTTAAGATGTGGTGTAAGGAGGAACACAATACAATGCTAAACTTTTTCTGGTTATTATTTGCCTCTACCAGTAAAAAAATTGAAACAAAACCAGTCATAAGATAAAAAAAGGAGCCAGGCTCTTGACAGGCAGTTTCAGGAGAGCTCTTGTTTTGATGGACTTCCCCATTGACTGCCTCCTGTCACACCCAAACCTCTAGCAACATGAAACTATAAATTGATGTGTACATTCAGCCCAGGCAGAGCCGAAATGAAAACAGCCACAGTTGTGGTTCTGTTGGCTTTGATCACTATGGAGATGGACATGGCCTGTGCTCAGAGATATTCTCCCAGAGGTAAGTGCGCTACGGGGATAAGAGGTGAGAACAGAGTGGACCCAAAGACCACTAGGGCCTGAGGACTCACCTGCCACAGGGGAAAGCCATGTGCCCACTGGTTGGATCAAACTCCCTTCCTTTGGCCTAAGAAGTGAACAGTTTGTTATTTCTAATTGAGAGAGAGAGAGAGAGAGAGAGAGAGAGAGAGAGAGAGAGACTGACTGCAGCTGTAGTAGATATCAAGGCAGTTTATCTACTCTGGAGATGTGCCTTGGATGTGGGGGTCACAGAAGCCATTGCTCAGAGATGAAGCTGGGGTATGGTGGGATGGGAGAGGTCTGGCTGTCAGAGGCTTTATAGCATCTTCTCAGATGTACAGAAGGAGCTGTGATGGTGGAAGGCTCTTGCTACTGAGACTGTATGGGCTTTGCGGAGGGAGCACACTGCCCCATGGTCAGACTGAGCATCCAGGCTTAATGCAAGACTGGAGCTGGTGAAGCTGAGGGAAGAGCCCCGGGGTGTAAAGGAGGCTAAGGAATTCGCTGCTTTCCTGCGGGTGACCAGGCTTTAGACCTCTCACATAAATTCTCAGCCTTGTCTTTCCAACTGCTTCAGGCTCCATAAACACCATTGTGTATTTCAGGATTGCAGAAACCTGGTGCTTGTCCCAAGACACCCACAGCAGGTGTTGGACCTTGTCTTGAACTCTGCTCAGGAGATGATTCCTGCCATGGGAAAATGAAGTGTTGCAACAATGGCTGTGGTCATATCTGTGCAGTCCCTGTCTTTGAAGTGAGTATAGCCCCATGTCTTCCTTCCCCACTGCTGTGAAACTATGACAGAAGCACTTACAGACGAAAGAGTTTCTTTTAGGCTTGCAGACAGTGAGTCCATGACCATCTTGGTGGCGAGCATGGCAGCAGGCAGGCATGGCCCTGGAGCAGTAGCTGACAGCTTACTTCTTGACATAATATCATGAAAGAGAGAACAAGCTAAGTGGGAATAGTGTGGGCCTTTGACACCTCCAAGCCTGTGCCCCGTGATGCATCTCTCCTGAAACAAGGCCACACCTCCTAATCCATCCACAAATGTTCCAACAACGGTGAACCAAATATTCAAATATGTAAGCCCAAGGGGGCCATTACCATTCAAAGCAACATACCCTTTCCAGAAATGTCCAAGGGAGTAATTGAGTGTCCAAGGGACTTGGCTGGGACAGTCTCATGTTGCTTTGTCCCCTTACGGCACACAAGAGTCTGGATGTGTCCAATAGAGACGGGCTGCATGAAAATGGCAGCAGGACTCTGGGGTACAGGCCCTGTGACCCTCTCCTCTGCACAGATCCCCACAGCGACCATGGTGACACAAGTCACATGACGTGACAAGGACTACATGACCATAAACTGGGAGACCTCACTCTTCCCCTCCCCAGCCCAGGAGGGCTGACTCTCCCAGAGAGCAGGTGTTCCGAGGAGGGGGAAGAGATAGTGAAGTGAGTGGGAACCATCATTCAGTTGAATACCTTACACACTGGGCAGATTGAGCTGGAATGGGAATTAAATGTGAATATACCTAGAGAAGCAGGCCTGCATGTCAGCATACGCGCTGCACCAGTGTCTGCTAAGTTCTGATAATGGTGGACCAGCTTTGCCTGAGGAGAGGCAGGAGAGATGCAAGAGTGGAGATCCAGCATGAGAAAGTTTAAGATAGGATACACAGAGCCCACCAGACAAGGATGGCAAAGTCACATGTTGGGAGATGTGCAGACCCTCCTTGGGAGATGGGGAAATGATAGCCATGGGGAGCTGTGGTGTCTGGGGGTGGGGGTGTGGGCACTACAAGAAGGTTACTTTCAAACAGTAATGAGCTGCCCAGAATTGAGAGGGGGCTGAATGGCTGGACCTTTCAAAACAGATGAAAATCATGATCATCTTTGTATTGTAGAAGGATGACAGACAGCCCTGCAAATGATGGATTCGATGCTTATAAGCATGATTGATGACCAGATCCAGAGGATTTCTTCTGATTTTCTTCTCCCTAGCCCTAGAATTGCATCCTTAGAAGATGAAAGCCTAAAATGTGCTGACTGCTTCTTAGTGTCTTTGTGTCTAAAATAAATGATCTTTAGCATTCTGTGAATGAACAGTTCTTCACGCGTTCACGTCCTATGGACTGTGCTAACTAGCAGAGGCATCCCTGGAGCCTCTAGAGAGCCCCATCAACACTGAGTCCACAGGATCCCGGCAAATCAGAACAACTTCTGCCTAAACAATCCCTCTTCCCTTGCCATGTCTGTACCTACAAACACGGCAGAAGACATAAAAATGTTTTCTGGTGCTTCCTGTGACTGTACGTGTGGCAAAGCAACCAAGCAGGCCTGCTGGGGCTGCATTTACTGGGTCATGATTCAGGAGGAGAAGGAAGGGCTCAGGGAATTCCCTGTTCTAAGGCAGTACAACCTCCTGCTGGACTGGATCGCCTACTCCAGGAACACAGCCATGGCCTCTGGATTGTGGGTTCTGCTTAGCATGAGTTCATAGGCTCAGGGAGTAGGTTCAGGGGTGAAAAGCACAAGCTGCTCTATCAGAGGACCTGAGGTCAGTTCCCAACATCCATTACATTATAAGTGGCTGATAACTCCCTATAACTCCTGCTTCAGGTATCCTGACAACTCTAATGTCCTCAGACACCCACCTTCATGTGCCCATGCACCCCACTCTCACCCCGATGACAGCATTACAACTCCAGAGGGAAAGGTATCCTGACTTGTCAGGAAGTTAGTCTATACCTGCAAGCATTATAGTTCTGAAGGGAAAGGTATCCTGACTTATCAGGAAGTCAGGCTCTACCTACAGCTGTGAACGGAAGGCATGCTGGGTACCTGCACTGTGAGGAGAAATGTATCCTGACTTGTCGGGAGTTGGGTTATACCTGAAGTTGAGGCCCAGTGGGGGATGGTCTCCCTGCAGGATGTGGCAAGCCTGCTCCTCTCTGAGAGAGTGAGCCATCACAGAGGAGCTCTGCTCTGCATCCATTATGTAGCTTCCCAGCAGAAGTATCCATCTCTTCTCGGCTTCACTTTGCTAATGGAAAACCTCTGCAGAAACGTTCAATCTGCCCTGGCTCTGGTGAAAAGTTGTTACTTCTGCCCTGATCTCCTAAGGGAGCTTCCCAGCAGATATTCTGCTCCACACTAGCAAAAGAAGATCTTCACCCAAAACTCTTTCAGAAGATTTGCCTGGGAAGGAGGAATGCAGGAGAGTAGCTGCTTCTGTCAGGATAGAGAAGGACAGCTGCCAACTGCACAGTCAGAAGGGTTATATAGACCTTCTTAGGTGGAGATGGTCTTCATGGAGGGAACTGGTCAGATTTTGGTCCCCTTGAGTTTGGTCAAGATCAGATTGTCTAGATTTTCTACTCAGGCATAGGTAGGTGTTCTGCTCAGGGATTAATAGGTTTCATGTTCAAGGGCAGATTTGACTCTGGTTTCAGGGTCAAAGTGTGTTTCTTTCATTGGCCCCTTTTAGCCTTTTGGCTCTACTTTTGAGAGAGCCAGGATCTCATATATACAGAGAATCTAATAACTCACTTAAATATTAATCCTCACTTCCTGCCTCTTGAAACTAAACAAGTAGTTTCTGAGGAAGCCAAGGACTATGGACTACCACCAATGCCCTTGATGGTGAGGTCCCCAGGGAAACTGCACTTACCAGATCTAAACCAACCTCTCAATATCTCAAGGCAATGACCAAATAAGGACAGATCCTGGGATTTGTTCAAGCCTGCCCAAAATTACAAAGAATATGGCTTTAGCCCACCCCTCCTAGCCCTAACCAATCAGAAATGTACTAGTCTGATTGGCACTCATGTAAGCCAATCCTAAATAGAATGACCTCTCTTTAGAATTCCTTTAGCTGTACAAAAGGAGCCTGGAGCATCTCTTGGAATCATTGCCTTTTTGCCTTTGTTTCTGGTGTCTGGCCCCAGCATGCTGGATCTCTTTTTATCTGGAACATTAAACACTCTTGCTAATTACATACATGTCTGGTGGTCTTTGAGAGACTTCTTTAAGACCCTAACAGTTTCAGAGCCAGGGTGTATTTCTTTCACTGGCTCTGGTCTTAGCACCAGAGTGTGATTCCATGGCCCTGGATCAGGGTCAGACTGTGTTTCTTTGGTTCAGGTTTGAGGGCCAAATTGTTTCTTTCACTGGCTCTGGTGTCAGGGCCAGGGTGAGTTTTTTGCTTTGTTTTGTTTTGCTGGCTAACCCTGGTTTCAGGGCCAGGGTGGATTTTTCCGGATGGCCCTATTACCCTACACTAGGTCTCCTTTATAGCTCCTTCATCTGTCTAATATTTGTTCACTACCTGGATCTGCCATCCTTCTGATCTCCAGTCCCTTCAGCCAGGCTCATCCTGCTCTTTGCTTCTGCAGCCAAACTCAACTTTACAGCTCTGTTTTCAAGCAGGTGACCTGATGTGACCTGACCTGCAGTCACCATAGTTTCTCCAGCCTTTCATCTCCACACCTTTCAACCTAGCTTAAACCATGTATTCCAGAAGAAGAAGCAGACAGATCTCTGTGAGTTTGGGACCAGCCTGCTCTACAGAGCAAGTTCCTGGACAGCCATAGCTACATAGATAAACCCTGTCATTAAAAAAAAAAAGAAAGAAACAAGAAAATAAAACTGTGACATCTTGTGAATTTATAGTTGTTCCTAAATTATGACATTATAAACAAACACAAATGGATTTGCCTTTGTTTCTGACAAAGCATGCACACAAAATAATGGGAAAAGTTATAGGCACTCAGGCCTGTCTCCTCAATCTGAAGGAGGGACTGGACACACATAGAGCTAAGCATGTGACCAAACAAACTCCCTCAGTCCCTGAGAAGTAACCCTACAAAAGTAACTCTGAAGCCAGCCACACAATGTCTGGGGCATCCCACAGCTCTTGACATTTTACCACCTCACTTCTTTCTCTGAGAGTCCATAATTAAGTCAGCAAAAGAGGCAGGCACACTCCTCAGAGACTAGGGACACCACGGGTGTCCTATGGCTCCCATCCCTCCTCTGCTCACTTGTGCATCCTTCTCACTAAAGACCTGTCTTATAAAGAACCATTGGTCTAAGACAATCAACCGTCACAGCGGAGCCTGCCTCCTTTGAACTGGCTCTAGCCACTTTAAAAATGGTTGAGTATCCATCTCGTCCAGGGTACACTTCACTGCCTACTGCAGATGAGAGGGGCCCAGATTCCACACCTCTTTAAAGGTCTCATCTAGAGAACTCCAATGGACTCAAGCACCTTCTCTTCCAGAAGCATGCTACATCACATACAACTGGTTTTCCAGGAAGCCTGAAGTGGCCCTGACCCTCCACAGTGACTGTCTTGGCTTCACTTCACTGAGTTGCTGAGCTACACAGAAGCAAGTATTTTCCTTGCTCAACATGTATAAAGACCTAAGTTGTGCTCCAAGGAGGAGCTCAGTGCTGAAGCATACATAATTTTCTTTCCTGGTTATCTAAGTTACCTATCAAGAAATAGTACTCT